AGTCCAATAAATGACAGCTGAGCTATGAAACATGCTGGTTGATGCTCTTGATATACGTACACTGATGTGAATGAAATCATACCTGCAGTACATCAATGTGGTAAGATTTTTTTAAACACTTTTGTGGACATTCAGAGAATAAAAACATTCTATTCACTTCAGTTTAACACTGAGTTAACTATAGAGAATCAGAATATTTAATCGACATCCCTAAATGTTGTGTATCAAAAAGACAAAATGGGCAACACTGGTATTTAATTAACATTAAAATGATGCATAAAACACGTGCATCGTATGTAACTGTTCATGGAGTTACAAATTAAGTATACTATATATTTATTTTTGTTATCTGCATATACAAGACTATAAATTCCAAACAATTTATTCCAAGTTAGGTGCACTACATCCAACCGCTCATAGTCAAATCACACTCCCGCCTTTCAACATTTTGTGCTCCCCTCAGCATTTCGTCCGTTCTACAGCTTCATTTTCCTTTGCTGTCACAAAATTTGAAGTTTCTTTCATTGCACACACACATGCACTCTATACTTTTTCTATACACACATGCATTCTCACTGTCAAGCAGTGTAACGGGAAAAGACTTATTCCCTCAATGGCCTTGGGACTTGGATTGATTTATAGGAGGGACTTCCTGGGTAGAAGGAATGGTTGAGGGATAGGAAACATTGGCATACGTTCACTCATTATATAACCTGACTATGGGCATGTGTATGTCATTTTATTAGAGCCAGACAATAAAATCTGTATGGTTTATCTGTGTGTGTTGGTAGTAGAATCCTTGGTCTTTGTAGTAAACGTAGAGTAGTTTCAGATCCCTCCACTGGTCTCTCACTGCCAGCTAATTTTCATATAAGGTCACATATCTTGGCCCATTCTCCATATTTATTTAGAGAAAAGATCAAAGCCTTTCCTCCCTGCCTGCCTCGTCTGTTTTAAAACTTGGGCTCTGAACATTTATCTTGAGCGATTCCATCAACACTATCTTTTAGCTCCATGTATGTTACTTTACACCTGGCATACTTTGCCAGTTTGTGTGTCCTTTTTCCCCTTTAATCAGTCCTTACAATTGTTCTTTTTTTGATAAGCTCCTTTTTTTCGTTGTTGACAAGTTTTTACCAAATGTGCTTTCACAGATGTGTCCTTTGTCTGTCTATGAATGTGGGTGTTAGATGGAGAGAGAGAGAGGGAGAGAGAGACAACAGAGCCGGCAGCGAATTTCTAAATTTATATTCCATGCTGTGTTTCCAAATCATGTTTCTTTCCTTGTACAGACACGTGCTTTGAAACAGTCACACAGTTTTCCCCGTAGATTCTCCTTTTTGTTCAGAAACCAACAAGTCGTGATATGTTTTTACACGTTCCTAATTCTACAGCTCTTTGTAAATATTTGTCCGGTGAATGAGATGCCCATTGTTGTTCTTCGCAATCTTTCACCGCCTTTGTTCTCGTGTTTACTGTCTATTTCACTTAATGTGTGTACAGTTTGAGAGTACAATCTGTCATATTTCTCTCTTACGTCTTATTTTCTTATTTTTATATTTTATTAGTTTTGACGGTACACAATGACCGTTTGTAAGAGTTGTCCATATCGTACGACCTATAATATTTAGTGTTCCATTTTTTATTGCTTAGACAAGATTGTGTTTACTCTGAACTTTACTTGGTTCTTGTTCTTGCTCTTACTATTCTTCAATGGTTTTTTTTTTTCATTTTTTTGTTTTTCCTTTAACTAAATGAACAACTGTAGGAGAGTTCTTTTAAGAGACTTCTGTTTTAATGTACCCAGCTGCCCCTCTAAAAGCTGTGTCCGGGGCACATCTTGTGCCTTTAATGAAAATGGAAAAATTAGACTTGACAATTAACAAAAAAGAACCACATGAAAAACAACAAGAAATCTATCAGTAGGCACCAGTCAGACCCCTGCATTCACTGTTCTTAAGCACCAATTACAGCTTTCACTCTGGTTGTGTTAATTGACTGCAGTACATGCTCTTAACGCCTAAATCCAGAAGTTTCACCAAGGTTTCTTGACAGAGAACTTAGCTCATTAACATATACGTGTGTGTGTGCATGTGCGTGCGCGCACGTGTGTGCGTGCGTGTGCGTGCGTGCGCTGCAGTCACCATGTCTCTACAGAGATCATTTGAGAGGTTTAAGTCTGTAGCTGTCCCACCCACTACCAGGCACAGGAAAGACGTTGTCCCAAAGCCACTCCACTTTGGTCTGTGGTTGAATATGTTCTCTTTTGGCTCTGTTGAAGGAACCCTCTTTTGCTTCTCTGATTATCAATTTTGGAACATTATTAAATATTATTTTTAGCCAACATATATCATAATTGCACTGTTGGCACTTCAGAAATAATTATATAACCAATACCATTACCTAGAGCTCTAGAATGTAATGGGCAGCAAAGTTTTAGGATCCTTTTAACTATCATTCGTGGTTAAAATGGCCTCAACAGTAACAAACCTTTGTCCACATTGTTTTCCAACTGTTACTCCTTAACAGAAATAACACAGTAGCAGAGTCATTATATTTCTTCCCGTGAAGGCCTTATGAAATTGTTGTTTATTCTCAGTGTTGTCTGAAAGATTGTCAGTCGGTCTACCCATCGATACAATCTGTCAATCAGATAAAACTGTAATCCACATACTAATGTGAGAAATAACTGAAAGACCAGCGGTGATTGGATTGGACAACAGATTGGAATCCTTGTTTCTTTTGTCAGTCCTACAGCCTTCACATTACAGACAGATCACTTTGTGTGCAATTTGACCACTAATGACAGGGTGTTGGGGCAGCTTTTACGCATCAATGGTGCTTGAGAGGTAAGCACCCACGATGATTGGCACAGAAGTGCTGACAGATACAGTAGCTAGTAGTAATGTTTAATGTCAGCGCTTAAGCAAAAACACTCGAAAGAAATGACCACCTACGGGTCACAAACAATCTTTTTTTATTCCACATCTTTTCTTTGGCGTGCTCCAACATTGTATCTGTTTGGAATTGTATTCACTGCCCTTATAAAGAAGGGATATATCAATAAATGCAAAGAAAGCAAAAAGAAACTGTAGTTTTCCACAATAAGAATTAATAAAATTCACAGTGTGAATCCACATAGGCTGCCACAGCAGTATGTGGTTACAACTTGGAGGCTGTCGCACGGGAAGTGCCATTCATTTAAAAAAAAACAACTGTATTCAATATTTTTTAAAACCAGTGACATCAGTTAAAAAAAACATTTTAGAGTCATTTTTGCTCAGATCCTGTGTCTGTTCATATTATAATTACTCGCTGTAGTTGCAGGTTGTGTAAACAAAGGTTTACTCCAAACATTTTACAGTTTTCACGCAAATAAAAAGGCCGTTAAAGGCCTTCATGCATAGCAGTTTCACATGGCCAAAGAGTGTGTGCCAGATTAACACCTCTCACTCCACTTCTGTTTTCTTTTTAGATGTAGAAATAAGCTCCTTACGAACCAAAAGTGCCCGGACACCACCCCACCTCCACCCCACACCTCCTACTGCTGTTTGCTACTGAATACCTTTATGCCGTGCAATCGTCCTTTCCAGATTTCCCCTCCATCCCATTCTTTCCATCTCTATATTCATCTGTCCATCTGTTTTCTTTGTTGGCCTTTGTCTCTCTGACCACATCAATCACGAAATAAAAGGTCTAGATTAAACCAGTAGATTGGTCCATGCAGTTCCATCTTGCAGAATGGGTTGTGAATGAACCCAGTCGTCTTGTCTGTCTCCCAGCAGCACTTCAATGCACTAGGTAGAAAAATTCAATAGGAATTTTTTGTGAGGAGGAGGAAGAGGCTCCTCGGCAATACCTTCCTTTAATGTCACACTATGACAGCAGTTAAATGTTTGACTGTGGGCTGTACAATTTATTTCCTGTTCGTGTGACCTGTAGAGGGCGGTGCTTGTGGGAGGTTTGCATAAAGACAGCGAAAGGTATTGCAGATTAACAAAAATGAACTTTGTGTGAATCCACAGCCTCTGCAGCACAACTTTTCAAACTGCAGCTTGTTTGCTGTGGTGAAATGCATACATTAATTAACCCAACAGTCTGATTGAAGTTGACCAGGTGTTAAATTTCTCCCCTTGTAAAAAAGCACCTTTGCTCTTTTTGTGGTCATATGGTAACTTCATTTACTCCTGGTTCCTTCTGTTCCTTTTCAGTAAATACCCTTTTTGTCTTATTGTTCCCACTTTTTCTCCCATCTTTAACACCTCTGCCCTCTTTTGCCCCTGTCTACAAACTTTCTGTTTTTCACCCCTCTCCGTGCTTCTTTGACTCCTCTTCACTTTGTTCTTGTTAACAGCCCCTGGAGAAAAAGGATGTGATCTACAGACCAGGGACCAGGGGGCACAGCTGCCCAATAAGACCCAGATTTATCAATCTCACTGAGCGAGACTGCATGGTGATGCTGTTTTGTTGGCCTGCCATGGCTGTTGGTTGCAGTTAGTGAGGCCGGTTCTTTGTGTTTTTGGCTGTCCATCCTCAGGATGTGTCGGATGTAATGAAATGGCGGTCCTCATAATCTATCTGGCTGACCATCTAGAAGAAGCCTGTCTGTGTATGTCTGTACAGTTATTGTCTATCCACCAGGATATATTTTCTGAAGCATGGGTGAAAACAGTGACTTGTCATCTGGCTTGATGTTTTAGAAATCTCTTTCCCAACCACTTGATAACAGAAGATGAAGCCTTTGTTTTTCTCCGTGACAATGAAGTTCTCTTTCTCATCCCATTGCTCTTTGTATTTTCCAATGTTTTTCACATCATCTGCCCCTCCCTCCTCCTGTCCTTCCCTTCCACCCTCCCTCTGTTCAAACACCATGTCCAGTTCCAGATGGAGAACACATATTCACAGATCCTAAAAACATACCCATCTAATTTCACCGCTAATTGAATAAATTATTTTCTCTCTCTCTCTCTCTCTTTCTCTCTGCCCACTCCCATCTATAGTCCAGTACCAGATGGAGATGATGCGTTCCTTGCGTCACGTCAACATTGACCATCTGCATGTGGGCTGGTACCAGTCCACCTACTATGGCTCCTTTGTCAGCCGAGCTCTGCTAGACTCCCAGTTCAGCTATCAGCATGCCATCGAAGAATCAGTTGTGCTCATCTACGGTGAGTGGAGTTTTTACAATGCTATCATCATAAAGGTGTCTTTATTGAAGAGTAAATGTATGTCAATGTAAAAGGACCTACATTCAAAGTAACACAAGCTCAGCAGTAAACAGGTCTCATTGGGGTACTATGTGAAACAGCACTGATAATTAGACTTTTAAACTACACAATTGTTAAGCTTTTTAAACTAGTATTTTCTTCTTGTCATTTTATTTTTATTGGGTGGTGACAAGGAAGCTACACATGTACCTGTATTTGAGCACAGAGAAGATATTTTTCCCCCAAATCATCTAAAAGTTGAAGAAATGTCAAATTGTTGAGGAGAGAGCTTGTGTTTTTCTACCGCTTTCCTAAGGCCTGGCACCAAGCAGGTACCGGGGTGAAGAGATGGGAATAACAAGGTTACAGGGAGCAGCTAACATGACTGTTATGGACACGGCGTGTCTTTCTTTAATTACTGCTCCACAAATGCCACAAAAGATGTTAGATGTTTGAAATGACTGCAAATTACAACCTGTAACTGTCGAACATAGTGCATGTATGTGATGAGTCTGAAAGTTATTTATAATGAATCAGCACAACAGAGTGATCTCCAAGACCAGAGGCTGTCGTTCAGCCAGACTTATAGGTGGGTATATAAGTAAATCAGGTTTTTCAAATTGTTTTATTTTTAATGTTATTGAACACTGAGTATCTGTTGCTTAAATTTAACTTTGGTTTTTAGTCATTGCCCAGCACCTTGATGGTGGCTTGTAGAAAAACATCAAGATTTGCTTTTAAATCTTGTCTTGACTTGTACAAGTTTATTTAAAAATGCATCTCAAACTCAAAATTTATGCATGCTAAAAGAATTCAGTTGAAGAGACTCTTAGTCTTAACAGTGTACTTTCTGTCCATACATCATGACTTCATGTGCTTTGCTCCCCACAGCAAAAACAACATCCGATCCTTTAATCTCACCCATTTGATCGCGCAGCCCACGATTAAAGCAGCGCAGTGTTTATCTGCGTACACAGAGTCAAGAGAGAGGCGGCAACTTCAGTGGCCACATCTGAAAAACGATGACAGCTGCTTTGATTTTCATTCACGCTGAAGCACTCCATCCTACTTGTCCTGCCTACACAAAATCATTTCAGGGTTGTCTTGTTCTCAGATTGTACAAATCCATGATGGACAAAGATTAATTTTAAGCACCTGACACATGAACCTCTCTGATCAGTTGTGCAAGCCAACAGGCCACTCAGGCAGTTACTCACCCAGGCCTTTCACATTCCAACCGATGTCTCCTGTTAATGTCAATCAATAATGCAGCGCTTAATGGATCAAAGCACCTCATAGGGATTGACATTATCTCTGTTTAAAGTCAAAGGGAAAGAAAATTGATTCCTTTTTGGTCTCTTCATCATTAGCTCGCTGGTCATTTTATGTCAAGAGATGAATCAATCCAGTGTCCAACTGTCAGGTTAATAACATCTGTCCAGTGACAGCTCAGAATTGAGAGAGTTGTTAAACCGATTGGTTAATTTAGCTCACAATGGCAACAGTTGTCTTAATTAGGTGTACAGTTGAGCGGACCTGCCAACCCAACTCATCATCACAGTCCCACCTGTTGATGGACATACAGTGTTCCTGACAAAGAGACAGTTACATTTTTATAACATCTGGTATCTGTTGGGCTAAACAAGTAAATATAAATCCCTGTTGCTTTGTGTGTGTGTTCTGTTGTGTTTTTCCTAACATTAACTTAAAGATGGGAAGACACCGGACATGTTTCCATTAAATTACCATCTTCATGTTCACAGCCTGTGGAGGAGGTTGGTATATAGAGGTGATTTTACACAACTGGACTTCAGGTTCCCACTGTGTCTCTGCGTAAAGTAAATATGTAAAGAAATGTTTTCTCTTGTAAAACTGCAATATTCACAAAACATCTAACCAGGGAATATTTATATTAAATGTCTGTGATGTATTTATCAGGCTCTTGAGGAAACTTGTCACATGGAGTCGATTTTTAATTTACCCACCAAGCCTTCGACAGATGTAGGTGAGATATCAAAGCAAAGTGTGGCTGTCACCAAACAGGCTCAATGGACACCAGTCGACAAGTGTTGTTTAACAGCCGCTAGCCCATCCATTGTTAGTCCCTTTTGTAATAAATGGATTACAAAAACAGGAACAATACTGCGCAGATTTCAGTTGACAGTTGACGGAGCAGCAGGTTTTGTTTCTCAAACCAGGTTTGATTTGGAAGCCTGCCCAAAGACGAGAGTGTTTCCTTTCACTTTACAAATAGAATATGATAATCTGGTGTTGATCTGTTTGTCAGGTGAATGGATTTCACAACCATCTTTCTGAGTAGTGGTGAAGAACTGATCAAGGAAACAGCCATTACGTTTTAATGTGGACCTTAATAACAGAGCTGAATCACTTTTCCTACTACGTTAACACTATAAAAGGGTTCGGACTCAGCTCTGTCTAAAGACCACACTCCTTGGTACAGTTTGTACCCAAGGTAAAGTGCATTCTGCCAAAAAACAGATTGTGTTGGTGTAAAAAAAAAAACATTTTATTGAGCTTGCTGGCATTTAAACATTGTTGTTTTCATTGAAGCCTTTTCCTAATGAGCAACAGGCTTTTAAGGGTGATCATGTTGACTCTCACATTCAAAGGACAAATGCTTCAGTTGAACAGGATGCTGGGTAGAGTTCCTCATGCTTGTTTGAATCATACATAATTTAAAGAAGCTTTACATAATTTCTGTCAATTCGACTTGTCATTCCAGACCCTATAAAGACGGCCCAAGGCTCCTTGTCCCTCAAGGCTTACAGGCTGACTCCAAAACTCATGGAGATCTGCAAAGAGAAGGATTTCACACCAGAGGGGTAAGAATCTTCCAGAGCTGCGCACAGATACAGACATGATCACTTTTACCTGCTTGTCAGTATATTCTTGTCAGTATTTTGTGCATAAACATGAAGAAACTGACTGACATCGCTCACAGGAATATTGGAATTAACCATGCCCCCATTTTTGTTTTTATGTCTGCATATACACTAGATGGAAACAAAGCTTTGTGCATCCACAGAAAAATGGATGCTGATGATTTAGCTGTTCATCCTTTCCTGTCAAACAAATGTGCCACGTTCGTGTATTTCTGACCTCAAGGCTCATCGTAATTGCTTTTAAATTGCAGCTAAAAAGGAATGTAATGAGAGGACCATTTTCTGTGTTGCCCGTGTGCACCAGCTGAGACAGGCATGTGCACAGGCACAAACGCTTTCATGAACGATTTACAACTCAGTTAAAAAGTCCCAGAGACATTACATTACTGCCCATTCCTCTTCAGGCTTCCACTAAAAGTACAAATAAATTGCAAAGATAACGAAAAGTGTAACTACATGATTTTATTTCACACCAGGTCCTCATAATCCTTTGTTTCATCTGTGTCTCTATTTTGAGAGCTTCTGATATTGACCCAGTGTGTATGGGCTAGAGTTAGAACCCCTGTAGTTTTCATTAGTTCCTATGATTTATGAGGGTGACAATCTATAACTATCAGTGATCCCAATATGTTTGTGATTGAAAGAGGGCAGCCCAGGACAGGAGAGGGCAACGTGACCACATAGCAGTCTGGCTGCTGTCCTCACATTTTTCTCGACCACAGTCAGAAGTCTGACTATTAGCAGACCATGGAGAGAAACCATCCAGCATTTCTTTCTTTGCACCCCTCCACCCCCACAACAGTCTATGCACAAAGTAGTCTCTTTCATGTTGGTACATTTGATGTTACATAAGCTTGCATATATTGTGCACCTCTGAAATGAAAGATGAGTGCTGAATAGACCCATCCCTTTGAACTGCTCTCCAAGTCGGCCACACTACGGAGGAAGTGGTCAATGGCACACAATCTGAGCCATCAAATTAGTCATCCTGGGGAGTCGACCTTTGGCTTCGTCCAGTGGGGCCCCGTTTGGAAAGAGCATGGTATTAAGTGTTGGCTAAGTCCAGTCAGAATGGGCAATTTGTGCTGTTGTCCTTCTCTTTCCTCATGGACACTTTTGTGTATCACTTTGCAGGCATCTGAAAAGGTCATATGCAAAAAAAAAGAACCTTACAGTACCCCAGATGGATAATTGTGCCAATATATATAACTACATAATACACTGTTCATATGATTATATTATATTTCCTCATAGGCAGCCGCATTGTACACTTATTTTTTCTTCTTCATACATAGCCTAAAGCAGATTGTTCTGTTCCGTCACCTTAGAGTCTGATCTTTAAGTTTGCCTGAGGCAAAGCTGTTCTTGGAATACAAAATTGCATCCATCAAAATTACCCTACCAAAATCAAATGATGCCCCATGCCTCTATTTATCACACAGGCAAGCACGGTGCAAACATCTGTTTCTGGAACGGTGCACATGGTGGATAATGCAGCCAGTGTATTGATCCCATAACAAGCACATCACATCTAACAAGCCAACATTAGACACATACAGGTATTAGTTTGTAGCTCATGGACGTGTGCACAAGTGACAGACTGAACTGTGGCAGACAGTCAATGCCATTGGATTTATGGGAGATATTAAGCAAAGTTTGAAGTTACCTTTTGTGCTAACAAGCCCATGTCAGAGATGGAGGGAGCAGCAGATCTGCAGCTTTTAGATCCCCAGGACTCAGAAAAGGTGGTTAAATCCGGTCACTGCTTCACACACTTATCAGCAGAAACCATAAAATTGTAATTTATGCTACTGAGTCAAACATTGCCTGGGGTGACCAATATGAGTATCCCACCATATCACACTGTTCTTGGATATCAAATGCAATACGCATAGTATTATTGTTGCGTTCACTTCTATTTCACTGAGATTTAGTTTTCTCTGAAAAGAAATCTGAAAAGAGCTGGTAACTGTGCTGCTCCATTTTAACAGTGTACTTTCAAACTGGGCTGAGAAGAAGAAGAAGAAGATATTTCACAGCTTCTATTAATGATAAATGTATAAGACATCTATTTTTTTATGTGGTTACACTGGTTTGTAAACTATTTTTTTATGTGGTTACACTGGTTTTTTTTCAGTGTTTGGTTTCAGGTATGCATAGACTTACTGCATTTACAAATGAGGATGTTTCTTTTATCTTTCATCATGAAAATATTATGATAATCTTGTCATGGTGTTTGTTTATCTGCAACATTCATTCAAGTAATTGATCCAAAAATTGTTATTAATCAAATTTAATCAACTAATTGTTTGTGGCAATCAAAATCTCTTCGGTGATGGTGAAATGTGTCTCATTTGTCCTCTGTTTTTCCTGTCTCGCACACCCACTCTCACTCTCCAGCTTGAAAAAGGCAAACATTGGCTTTGAGCATATGTTTGAGGAGGTGCCTATCATCATCAAGAATTCTCACCTCATCAATGTGCTCATGTGGGAGCTGGAGGAAAAGTCCATGGTCGCCGACAAGCACGAACTGCTCAACCTGTCAAGCAGGTAAGGAATTAAATCACGTAGCCATCTACCCATGAAGGCCAAGAGTTGCGGGACCTTTGGGTACATTCTTTGAATGTATAGAAGTGAATATGGGTTCATCTGATGCTATTCCTGGATTAACTGTTCTGCATAATCTACAGAGCAACAGCCCCTGTCCTCAGATAAAGCCTGACCTTCAGTCCTGCTATAAAAGTTTGTAATATGACTGATGTGCAGTGATCTGCAGTGCTGCCCTTATTTTTGAGGAATTTTATTCTTACTCATTATTTTATATATAAAAGAATAGAGTAATTAAAAAAGTTTAAATATTTGATTGATAATATTAGATTATATATTAAAAATAAAAAAAGTGCAAATGCACAGTATCTCCTGGATGTTGCAAAATGTTTACTGGTCAAGGGAGATTTTTGTGTTCCGTCAACGTAGAGCAGGATATGTTAATTTGTTTGTTGTTCTTTTTCCTTAAAAGAGCATTATATTACAATTTGATTGAATTGAAAAAAGATTTTCATTTAATCCAAAAGGCATGCAGCGCAAGTTTCTAATCTTTATTTAAGTACCAGGCAACTAATTATGGGCTGAAAAATATTCCTCGTATTTCCATTCACTTCCTGGTCCCCAGGGTGGAATACTGCCCTGAGGTCAATCATTAGACCCCACTGTGTGTTTGCCTCATCCGTCTCTGTGTAAAATCATTGTACAGCCAAATCCAGGAAGTGGAGGTTATTGATGGGAAATTACTTCCCAACCTTTCAGCACTGAGCAGAGTGCCACATTCATTTGATTCATTTGAACTAGGAAACCCTCCGTTTTTTAAATACATTCCTATTTAAGAACCTAACCTCCTCTAAGTGTCCCAGCGCCTTCTTTAAAAGCATGTAATGCAATCAGTTCCAACCTACAGGCTACATACGTAGACATGAGTTAGAGCCTCTTCTAAATTAAAATTGATTTGACATAAGGGAACCATGGGTATTAGTCCATGTCTGTGGCGCTTTTTATTATCCCGTTAAACATAGGAGGTGGGAATAATAGTTTTGTTGATTTAAACATATGGTTTAAGCAGTGTTTTCAGATACTTCTGAGAGAATTATCATTTTACTGTCATCAAGCAATAACCTTAAAATCTTCAAACCTAAAATCAAATTTATCTCCCTAAGAAGAATGGCTAGAGCTCTTACTCGTGATGTATCATTCTGTAAACTTTCCCTTTAAAGCAAATAGAAGAATTGCATTGTTGCATTTAATTACACATTTCTCAGTTATAGTGAGCAAGTTTACTTTAAACGAATATATAGAATGCATATGTTCAGCTGGCAGCACTTGAAAAGAGGGGATTCATATTTACTGAACCAGAAATTTTAATATGGTTGGTTGAGAGAGAAAATACACAACCTCTCTTTAAAATAAACTTCTTGATCTGTATTTCTTGTATTAGGGGAATATCTCATTGTATGCAGGGAAATGCCTTTTTCTTTATCAGTTTTAATAGGTCTCAGGTTATAATGGAGTCCTTAGTTGGCATATAGCTGTGAGCTCCATGAGCCTTCCCATATGATAACTTATCATTGTTTGTTGCCTTGACTCTTGGGATTTGTGGATAATGCTGAGATGCTTTAAAAAAACACCAATAAGCCTCATTCAGTCAGCCATATTTCAGCCAGACTGAATGGAAGTTGGATTGAAGCTAAGCCATCTGCACTGATGGTTAGGATTTTCAGTATCAGAACATGGCTAACAATCTGCCTGGGTCTTGATTAACTGTGACATCTTTGGTGCATTTGCATTTAAATACTTTTATCCACAGTGTCTTATAATAATAATTGGAATGTGACCAACACTCTAAGTGGGACGCGTTTGACAGCTATGAAAAAGATATACATGGAATAGAAGTACCTAGTACTTATACTGTAATGCTTCTACCATGGTTAACAATTGTCTGACGACTAACTAATATTTTCTGGTTTGTATCTTCTATCTGGGTCAGTACTAGGTTAAGAAATGCTGTCCTTAACAAGGTAATCTAACACCACCTTTAAATGTCAGGGCCTATTTATTTCAGAACTCCTCCAAAAACAGCATTACCCACAATAGCCCCACCATCCACTGCTAATGAGCACAATATGAAGCAAATATTCTGGGCAACGTCTGCTTACAGCCTCTCGATGACTTGTATCAGATCTTGGAGGTATCGGCTTCAGTCTCTGGAGGATTTATCAGCAATCATTTATGGTGATAAACTGCTGCGAGTGGAGCAACAGCTGTGAAGCTGCTAATCAAGAAGCTTCCCAGGGGCAGGTGGAAGGAATTAGCACAATAATGGCTGCGAATGCTGATTTAAACACTGTTGGTGCTCAAACTGCACTACGCTTAGCTATAGACTGGCGTTTATGACACAAGGGGCTGTTGTGATACTCATCATATGCGCCCTGTTACACAAATGAGTCATCAGTTATGATTTCTTTCACATGCACCCCCTTGTGTTGTATGGATGTGCATGGCCAGCCAAGCTTTGCATCAGCCATTCATCAAATAAACTGCTGCAGAATGCCCCACTCTTCTTGCATATTACTACATTTTCAAGATGACTACTTAATGGTTGAAACATCGCCCCCTATATGGCCTTAAATGGAGCTGAGGTTTCCGGCCCGCCACTCCCCATAGGGTTCCGGGCATGACTGCCAATGGGCTGGCTGTCTGTGGAGATGAAATTGCTTCCTGAAGTTGGCAGATTGCTCCCCAGCTCTGTCCTTGTATTGGATTGTAGCGTCCATCTCTCTACATCTTCAACTGACAGCTCCGCCCCTTTCTTCTCATATCCAACCCTTCACAGAAAAATAAACGAAAATGGGTTTTATTTTGTGTTTTTTTCTTTGTCTCCTTTTACAATCTTGAACTCCATTTGTCATTGTCATCTCTGTCTAGAGATGAGTGAATGCAAACGCACTCTGGTAAAACAGGGTTGCTCTTACCAAAGATGGAGATGATGATGCTAATGTTGATCTTGGTGATGGATTACAAAAATGGAAATGCATTTATGTAGCATCGCCCTTAGTCTGGCTTCCAGTCATGTTAGGTTACTTTGCATGTTGCACATATTACAGTAAATGACTGCATTAAGGATAGTGGGAATTTAGAGGTCGATCTCTTTTCATTTTACACCAAGTCACAAAAAAAAGTCTGTGGACTTTCAAAAAATCAACTCAGTCAACAATCACAGTAAATCTCACCGACCGCAGTTAAATAAAATCCACATCTGTGAGCCTTGTTTAAATCATAATGTCACAATGTACAGTATATTGTCACTAGTTATATCATCGATTGATATTAACACAGGGCTCCAATATAAACTGTACAGCAAGGTGATGGTCACTGTAACAATAGGAGTGCTGAATACTCAGAAAACATTTCACTTTGTTCTCTTTCCTATGCAAATAAGATCATGTTGACCTGCACACACACACACATATGCATAGAGAACGGGGTGACCCTCAACCGGACTTTAAAACTGAATCAGTAATGGTAGCTAATCCCTGGGTGGACTTTGATTTCTGATTCGGCATTGATTGGAGGTCTCACTGAACATTGTGAATAATTTAACTCTTTGGAGTTTAGACACCGTGCTCCCGAAATACATTATTCACAATTCAAATTTTGAACCATGTGTAGCCTGTAAGGTCAGTTTTCCGTGTGTGTGTGTGTGTCTGTCTCTGTGTGCGTATGGAAACATGAATTAACTGGGCTCTTCCCATATTACCTGCAGCACCAAGCAAGAAAGTTAATTTACTGATGACACAGGAGGTAGAAGCTACAATAAGTGGCCTCTTACGTTGATGTTGTTCAGTTGTTTTTTTATTTTTTCCTTAAATTAAAATGCTTATTCAAGTGTTAGCTGGTGGCAGAATGCATTCAACACTGATCATGATTTTAGGCTTCCTGCTCTGATTTAATGATTTCCTGTGTTTCATATATTGCAGAGTCAGTACTGCAGGGCTTTTAATGTCAGATTGTGCATAGATTTCTTGTCACCTAAATTGTTTGTGAATATTAAACAGACATACTATTAGCTTTGTACTTACTTCACATAAAGCAAAATAAGCCAAATTCTCCTCCAGTATTGTAAGTGAATAATAAAGTCAACTCCAGTATTATATGTATTGTTACGCCATGACCGAGACTCTGTCTTAAAGACTTGGGATTTAGTTGGAAATTAAAATTAAGCCTTGTTTTCATTCTGTATCAATAGACCATGAAAAGATTCATTATGATCAATATTTTCTAGGAAATCCAGTTAAAGCGATGGAGACTTTTTTTTTTTTTTTTTACAAAAAAAGGACTACCAGAAATCTAGAGTTGGTACATTGCTGTCACAATATTCTTTTGGTTCCCAGCAGCAGATGGCAGGCATTGGAGACCGTGGAGACGGGGAGAAATATTGATTTATAAAACTGGTAATTGAAAAACCTCGCAACAGTGAGGACTGTAACTTTGAGCTCACCTTAAACTATCTTTTCTCTGCCTCCACATAATCACAGAGATGACAAAACATAGTCGCATGGAGTTTAAGTACATGCAGAGCCAAAGCATGCACAGGGCACAGGTACTTTAGGGACGCAATTGTCATTTAAGTGGGCTGTCGGAGTCTGCTTCCTCAACCCACATGCCGTATTATGTCACAGCTGCACATTTAAATAAAAGAATATACAGTGCTATAATTTCACAGATGAAATCACCGGTGCTGTAATAGAGCGTTACAGCAGCGGTGCCAAGGTTGAACTCAGGGAGCAGTAGGATATCCTGTAAAGAACAAGCCTCAGTGGAGGAGTGCAAACACTGGCAAAGATTTGAAAGTTGTCATCATTAACAGCACATACACTAAATCTACAAGAATGGACACGGGTGTGACAAAAGACACACTTCTTTGTGGGTATCGCACTTGAAAAATATTGTACTTATTGTGCTTTCAAAAAGTTCCCTAAAACTTGATAAAACATGCAAAAAACTGTCATTATTTCATGTTTTTCTTGCAGTCACCTGTGCTGCTGTTTTCCCCCCGTTTTTCTACCTCATGCACATCTCAGACTCTGTCAATCCAGCAGTGTGGCGTGAACATTTCTAACTTTTGTTTTTACATAATAGTACCTCACGTCACAATCGTTCCATTCAGAATGATACTGTCGTGACATACGAATACCCTTCAGTGTCTAGTGCGGTATTTAAAAGATGAGACATGCGATGAATAAAACCACGTGACTGATGGAAGAGCAGAATGCGCGTGAATGACAAACCGACTTTTTTTTGTCTCCCAGCAACCACTTGGAGAAGAGCCTTCAGCTTCTGATGGACAGAGTGGATGACATGAGCCAAGAAATTGTCAAATACAACACCTACAGCCGCAACCTTAGCAAACAACAGCAGCAGAAGCACCAGGTAACTCGCACGCAGATGTTCATGCACACACACACACACAAACAAATATCAATGAGCAAACATCATCTACAGACATAATAAGCAAGGTACAGTGGCAGATGCACCAGCCACAAACAGCAGCTATTTATATATATATGTATATATGTGTGTATGTATATATATGTATATATATATATGTATATATGTAGGAAGGGAAATTGTATCACAATTCTGTAGAAAGATCCAAAATCACTTTTATTGGCAGCAACAAACTCACCTCCACCAACAGCCACAGGAAACTTTCTTCAGCCAAAGACATAGACAGAGGTTTAAAAGTCATTTCTGTTGTTTAAAGCGGACACTAATGAGATAAAAATGACTAATGTTTACCTTCATATATCTGTCATTGTGTTATCAAAACCAACCTCTGCAGCTGCTGGCAGGTGCCCACTGCAGATCAGCATCACTTGAATTTTAAACACACTTCTGCTCCATCTGCAGAATGGCTTTTCTTGTCAAGAGGTTGCACAGTTTTCATCACCGTAAAAGCTGTTTCTCTGAGATTCATTAATTTATACTTATGTACGGGAAATCTGTTTCGGAATGTGATTAAGTCATGAGGCGTGATCCGCGAGGACCACAGCTGCTGCGTATGGTCCCAAAGCTGCTGTAAATAAATAACCAGAAACTAATAAGTATATCTGCTATTTCTGATAGACCACGTAGAAAAGTTTTTTTCCTTCTCTGTGGCAGTGAGAACCCTCACAATCTTGCACCGACTTTATTTCAAAACCTATTGAGTTTGTGTGTCTGTGTGTGTGTGTGTGTGTGTGAGAGAGAGAGAATGCAGCTTGAAAAAAACTTGAGAGATACACAACTCCTACAGGCAAAAGCAGCTAGGACTATCAAACAGAACACGAAAACACAAAGAAACACACAGATAAAGAATCAGCAAGTCTCAACCAGGTACTCGGCCAGATGCATCACAAACATCCGCCCAAGTACACTCACACCTACTGAAAACACGGGAAGGAAAGGGGACAAGGTGACTCATTGTGTGTTTATACAAACTGTGTTCAAACAACTCCAGAGGGGGTGGCGGTGGTGCAGTGGTAGGATTCTTCGCCGCAGTAGCTCAGCATTCAGATCCTCCCACTATCCCAATTCCCAACTCCAATTGGGAGGGTTGCTTCAGGAAAGGTGTTCATTAAAATTGGGCTGAGTTTCTATGTGGCCTAGAGCTGTGGCAACAAAACAACTGGAGGATTTTTTTTCTTTCTTTCTCTACAGCTTCAGTATGAAGCTATTTCTTGAAATTAGAAATAAACGATGTTGAGTGGAAATCATAGGCATAGTTGAAACCCAGAACAGACCATGGCACACATTCATCTGTGACCACAGGTTGTCTTTTGTATGCACAGCAGACGTTCACAACCAGCACAATAAAGAAACACCATCTCCAGGCCAATAACCCACTCCGCAGCACTTATGATCCATCATCCTCCACAGCCGACCTTCTCATCAACACGGCCCCTGAGTCTCAACCTCCAACACACACATACACACACACGCACACACACAGACTAGGCTCCTCTAATACTGCCTACCGTTTCATGTTATACACTATTCTTTACAAAGTAACAACCACAGTGAGCTTCCATTACACCTTTCAGACATCTGCAGAATTTGTTCCTTGTAATCTTGTGTTATTGACCCCAGACCAGTGGAACCTTATTAATCATCATAGAATGTTGCAAAGAAAAGGGGAGCATTGCTCTGAGAGGGCTCCATTTTTCATTTTTAGTTCTGTGAATTTGGTGAGAAACAAGTTCCCGACAACGGTCTGCAGCCAAGTTAGTCATCGTCGAGGAAATGTACGTCTCACTGCACTACACAAGTGTGTAATGAGCCACAGAGAAGCAGATCTGAAGTCTGGAGTCATCTGAACTACGATATAAAAGTCATCGATGAGACATATCACAGCTAACAGATACATACAGATAATATTAGTTTAGAACAGAAGCATGGTCACCATGCATCAACATTAACAACTTTAATCCTGGCTAGTACTTTTTTCTAGTACTAAACCTTATGAAGGAAAACCGTGTCTATTTTAGTAAAATTAGTGCTGACATTTCAATTTTTAATGAGTAAACTTCAGAAAAATACAAAAGGACAATGTAATGGTGCTAGTCTGCTGGGCAGTTCCAGTGATATCAAAGGAATGTGTTTTACAGCGTGCTGTTAGTTTTTAACAGCAGTTATTGGAACAGTAGTGGGCTGTGGTAACACCTGATGACAGGATGGCACTACATTTATTTTGTGGTGTAACATTAGGTGTTAAGGTCTTAAAGATATTATACACAAACTTGGGATGGTCAAATTTTTTTGATTGAACATCCCAAAAAAGTAGCCTATCCAATCTGATAAATAAACCCAAATGCACAGCTTAACTTTGCGTGACATGTCGTTAACAGGGACATGATCCCTTCAGCAACAGCAGCCCAGCATGCTGGAGGGAAAATTATTTTTTTAATTCCTATGGGTATTGGTAGATTCTCCAAGTTGCAGTATTGATATCGGACATGAAAAAGTTACAAGCCACTTCTAATACGAACCTATCAACATTTATCACAGCGAGCCCCTGGTGTAGGGAGACAGATGAGACATGGGTAGAACATCTCAGTGGACCACAGTAACAGGCTCCCATAACAGTTTGTCAGAAAGCGCAGCTTGTCTTTTTCAACCTTACTGTACACAGGAGCCCGTCTTTTGTGGAGCTCAGACACAGGTTGATGTACACTCACAGTCATCAAGTACGCCACGCGGATAAATGCTCCGCAGAGGAAGCGAATGGATCTTGACGGGAAGTTTTAGTTAAAATTGTGACAAAGTCTTGACTTTAAAGCAGGAACACAGTAACCGAAGGCCACTCTCCCTGGACCGAATGCTGTTGCTTCCTCTAATGATGCTCTGGTTCTGCTTCTCCACAGCAGACCCAGGAGGGCCGGTGAGGGCAGAGAGCAAAACACAGATAGATCCTTTTGCAGTCTATAAGAGAACTGCAGTGGTTGTCTAAACAGGATTTTGTCGGGCTAGGACAACAAGCTGGAACATGCAGCCTGAGCTGCACAGGAGTCGGCACCTCAATCACATTCAGACTTTGTGGCAGGTCTTGAACACCGTTGTTCCCCTGCAGACTGTATGTAGCTTGACAGAGCCTGAAGAGTGTGTGAGGCGGAGGGAAAAAATAGCAGCAGAGGTGACTCTATTAAATGCTGACTTTTAGGAGGGAAGTTTTATGTTTGCACTTGATTTAGAACCCTGAGAATATTTTTTTCTTTTTCTTTCACTGTGACATTTATGACCACAATAGACAAACAGTGTATTATTTGGACACAAGTCATTTGCATACAGTTGCATTTTGATTTTGCACAGTCATGTTCTGTAGCTCTGACAGGAAGTAAATGGGGGAGGAAGGATTGATGTTAAGGAATGGTGACATTTTTCATTTATTAGCAGTTTTTTTTTTGTCTAATTCAGGCACTCATGCAGATGCATTGTGATGTTTCCTTGAAAGTAGGCTGCTCCCCCACACGCCCTCTTCCCCCGCTCAACTGCTGCAACCTCTCGCTCCATCAACGCAGCAGCCTCGCCTCCATCTTTCCAAATTAACAAGCTTTTAGGTTCTCCAGAGAGTTGGCACCTCGCTGATTTACTGACTGTCAGCCCTCCACAAATTACTCTATTCCTGTCAGCGTTTACAAGTTTTCCCTCTGTCTTACCTATCTCTTCTCCCATCTCTGTGTCTTTACATCTCGCTTCATTCTTGTTACTATATCTGCGTCCTGTCGGCTTCCTGCCCTTCTTCTTAATCTTTACTCGATCTGCTGCCACTCTGCATCTGTCGGACCTTATTTTACTTCCCCCTTGTTACTCTGACTTTTCCTCTTCTCAGAAACCCTGCTACATTTCCCTTTTCTCACCCCGTCTCCCACTCCTCACCTTCCTGCTGTCATTTATTTCACCTATTTTCCTTGTTTGAATTCTCATGCTGTCATTTCCTGCCTCCATAACTCCAGTCTTCCCTTTTCTCCTTTTCAGGCCATTTTCTCTCTCGTTTCACTTTCCTCTCTTCTGTGCTATTTTTATTTGTTTTGTTTTTTTGTCTTAGACCTCCTGTGTGCCCTTCTTCTACTAATGCCACTGCTTCTCCTCTCCTCTCCTTGCCTTCTTTACTCTAGTACCTCCAAAGGCGGCAGCAGGAGAACACCCAGCGACAGAGCAGAGGAGAGCCCCCGCTGCCTGAGGAGGACATCACTAAAATGTTCAAGCCGCCCCAGCCTCCACCTCGGATGGAGACATTACTCATTGCAGGTACGTGTTGTATGCACACACACAGACACACACACACACTCTGTATCAGACAGCGGACTAGGGAGACCCCCTTCCTTCCATCAGCTGCCTCTCCCCCTCACAGGAGCTTCTGCTTCAGTTTTGTAATTATCTGTGCCATTATCTTGAGATTACATTGATTTAAAGTTTATTGACTCAGGTCTCCAACCAGATCGTCCCCTTCTCCTGCTGCTCCATACCATTTAGCTCCCTACGTCTCCTGAAGATTCTCTGTTTATTTGATTTTTATTTTCTGTTTTTCTGCATTTCAGTGTTTTTTATCCATATTTTCTCTTCCGTCTGTATGTTTTTTTCGTGGGTATATATCTGTACATTCATGTGTTTTCCTTCCAACAGGGCAAATTAACAACTACTGCCAGAACATTAAGGAGTTCACCTCCCAGAACCTGGGGAAGCTGTTCATGGCAGAGGCTCTCCAAGGCTCCAACTAGAAGAGGAACGACCCACAGAAGATTGTGCAGAGGGAGGAGAAAAGAAAGAAAAACCTGCAAAAACACAGATGCAAAACATCATCCTGGACAACAACAGGTTGAAGTCTGCACTGTTGGGGGTCCTACGAATTTATTCATTGTTTTTATGCCAATTCTATCTTAAAAAATGCTGTTTGAATTAAACTAAAACTGGCATCTCTCCATTGTCTCATTGCTTGATGACTTTACTTGTTGCAGAAGTGACATTCTCACCTAGTCATGGAACAGGATTATGTTCCTGTAACAGTATATTCCACCTGAGTGGATTAACATGGTAGTGACGTGACGGTTACTCACCACACGTGTGGACAAATGCTGCGTTTTGAAGTGTTCTCCACTCTAATTCAAATAAATATATTCAGCTGTACACGGTTAATACAAATTAGCAGTTAGCATTAGCTAGGCAACAATTTAAAAAATACAATAACAGAAGCTGAAATTCTCTTAGACCACACAACACTATTACGCTGTAGTTCATGAGTCCCTGTGACATCGATGTTTTTAAAATATGGCGTAGCTGCAGATGAAACTTTGTATTTCTCTTTTAATTATGTCTCTTTTTAAAAAAAATAATTTCAATGTTAAAGATTTTTGATGGTCTTGACTTTTACCATACAGTGTTTGGTTGTGTGGTTGAGTGACCACGGACTTAACAGCGCCTCCTGTGGCAGCCTTTGTGGATAGCACTTGCAGTATGAATCTCCCCATAGTGGGATTAATAAAGGACTTCTCTTTTATCACCTCCCATTAAACAAAATGGTATTTTTATTAACCACTGGCCCCACCTCTCGTCATCTCACCCAGTTTATATTTCTAAGCTCTGTCCCTGCTTGTTTTCATTGTATTGTCAAGCAAAGACTTGTCAGGTGGAAGAACATCATATCATTGATTTATGACCATGAAGAATAAGGTAGACTATTGCCTTTGCCTCGGTATAAATTCAAATTCAAGGTACAATTTAATCTTGTTTTAAAGCAGCTATCTTCAGTGAATGAGGCTAACATTACTGTCACATTTATGTGCTTTTGGCGTATTGTCTCTGAATACTAGTATTTTTGGAAGGATTACCTATGAGTGGGACAGATCTCATTTTGTGATGTTTATTCAATAAAATAGCAGATAAGTGGAGCAGATAAGGAGGGCGCTGTTTCCCCTGATAAAGACTGAATGGCAGAGGGTAAAGAGGCACTTGACAGGAACAATGTCTTTTTTTTTTTTTACATGATTACCAGACTGGTGCAGGACAACACTGGAAAGTGTCGTCTTTAGTTGTTCCCATAATTATCAACCTGTTTTTGTGAGTGATTTAATTCACCGACAAAAAGGGCGCAGGAAGGTAGCTCTCATGATATCGATCCTCAAATAAAAGAAGTCGAGAGGCATCTGAGCTCTATTTGTCATCAAGAAATCATAGGGAAATCAATGAGCGTATGGAGCTCAGCTGAGCACATCACAGGAACAGTCTCTCTCTGCTGCCTTCAGGGCATGTCCGTGCTTTATCTGCCTGGAAAGTAATTATTCTGCCAGCGTCTGCTGTCAACGTCTCTCTTCTTCACCCCATACACCTGCTGTATGCTTTTGTACAGTTTAATTACTTTGATTCAGTTTACTTTTATTACCACTGTATCAATACGGCAGTCTGGAGCATCACGGTGAACGTATCAATAACATACGGCCGCAGGTCTTTACATTACAGTTGATATGTTTTATGTGTTCGCATTGAAGCTGCGGAGAAAGTTGAAGAGACTGTGCTTAATGAAATAACACATTAATTAGCAGCTATTCTGAGAACTTAGTAAGTAGTGTTCAATTAACCCTTCAGAGTTGGCTGTTAACAAAGTTCTCAGTTCAGAACCTCTCAGTATTAAAATGTCTATTAGAATTTCACTTTAAGACTACTTGGTTACAGACATCATTTTTTAAAAATTATGATCCATGTAGTAAAAAATAAATGAATAAAAAGCATAAAACATTGTGAACAGATTGACTGAAGAAACAGACACTGTTGTTTGAAGGAAGATATAGAAAATTGTTTTAATGACCCTGCTGTAATTTTCCTATCTGACAACATGCGTTGTCAACATCGGGGTGAAAGTTGAGTGTTCAGTTCAGTGTGTACAGTGTTGGCTCATTGTCCACCACCACCACGTCAACACTCAGTTATTCAAATCACCAATAAACTCCTACAAAACTGCAATACAGTGGTACAAATAATAAAAGAAAAGATTAAATTGTAATTTACTTGTCTTCGCCAGCATTAGCTTTGAGCCCGTAATGTGGTCACACTCCCCCACTTGAACTACTGAACTGTAGCTTGAAAATGACCCAACAATTCAGCTGAAATAACACAACAATCATTACGTGTTAAAATGATGTTAAATCTAATACTTCCTATATAATCTGATTATTATATATAATATATTTTCATATTTTAAGAATATAATACTCTTAATTTGCCCAATTCTTGGTAACAAAACATTGTAGAGATATTTTTATGAGAATATCCTAAATATATATATATGTATATATATTTTTATTTATTCCCAAAACCATTAAACACTTTTCCCTTGTGGTAATGTTTGCAGACTGGTGGGTAAAATGGAAATTTTATCACCACAAACTTAGGGGAATTAATACTTAATGTAGCTACTGTAATAACATAGATTTTATAATGCCTCTATATTGGAGAAGCTTCCAAAGGCGTTTTTAAGTGATTTACAGCCTCGATCTATTGTTCTCGCTAAATAGCAGGGGAGAAAATAGAATTAGAAAAATAATTTCGAAAAAGTGAGTCCAATCCAATTCCTACTGGGATTTTTGACTGAGCTCAGCAGCTCTGCGAGTCAGCCAAAGGTGGAGTTAAATTAAAGATAAAAAGAACTGATAAAAATGTCAAGGCACAATAAGCTCATAATAATTCTGCTCATTCCTTGCCCTTCAAGTGAAATGAGACAGTGTCATCCTAAGCAAACCTTCACTCAACCTAACCAATGCATTAGCATCCAGCGTGACTCCGTCAGAAGACAGTTTTGTCTAAAGTCTCTGATGTTCTCATAAAAAACTTTTTTGTTTTATTCAAAATAAACAGAACAGAAGTTTTCCACCAGTCGAGTACTGACAATGACCCCTGGATTCTAGATCAGTAGTACACTACGGCCCACCTACCACTGGTTGTACAGGTTGGCTAACTGTACTGATATGCTGAGGATTCTGATTTTTAAAATACTAAAATTAGATTGCTAAATTATTTTAAGTACAAAATAAAGTGTTAAAAAAGACACTGGTCGGTGGAGTTTAATGTTGGTCATAATGGTGGTACCTGGATAATCAAACACTTTCATACTTTGAATACTACTGTTACACTTTATGGATAGCATTCCATTCATTTCTCAACACAACTGTCTAAAATGCAGCCCCACACCAGGACAGAGCCTCTTAAATATTTCACCGATTGTCCCAGACAGACAGTTAGTGAAGTGTGATTTGAATTTGAATGATTACAAACTCAGACCCATCACTTCATAAGATGTTTGCCCATCGATCTTCAGTATGGACTTGGTGTAAATTTGCATATTTTGACCTTTTTCTCTGTTGTTCATCAAAATAATTTTGGCAGTGTCTCTTTCTTTTTTGACTGGTGAACAGGTGCTGAAGGATTAGATCCTAATTAACAATCCAGCCCTGCTTTATCCCTGTATTTCCTGTACATTGAGATACTGTATGAAACAGTTTTTTCCTGTACTTCATTTTAATAATCTGAAGTTAGACACTTCATCAGCTGCCGACCATCGAAGCAGAGTAAATGTTAACAACAAGAATCTAAACGACGGCTTCTCCTGCATGATTTAACAAAGAACAGACTATTGTGCTGCCTATTGTTCCATAATTGCGCAGCGGCTCTACTCAGCCGTGTGTTCTTTCTCTTTTTCTCGACCTCTGGTCTAACAGCGTCATCTAATTTGGTGGACGACGTTGTTTAACTTGGCATCAATGTTGCCAAGTTGAATAATAACTTGTCTCGCTCCTTCTTGTCTTCAGTATATTTTCATTAACAGTAATTACAAGTCAACCAACATGATGAACGTTTATCAGGACGACGGGACGGAAATGATTTCTTAACCAAATCATAGCATGCTTCCCTGACGTGTTGGCCCGCTGCAGTATTAATTCAGCACAGAGGGTACGAGTTGATATTTATTAAGATACTTTCTACTTTGACAGGCTCACCTGTCCGCGTGATTGATGCATCCTATGATGAAAGGCATTTTCTTTTAGCAGGTATTGATTGGCTTTTGAGCAGTGGCTTGGGCCCATGGTAAGGTTGTGTGTTTGAAATTCTGCGGCAGCACTGTAGGATGACGTTGCCCTTGAGGGCTGACTGGGGCACAGCCTCCCCTGTCCATAATCCGGAGGTGGTGTGAGGAATTACAAAACTTTAGATGCCCTCGACAGCCGCGGCAGCTTTGTGCAAAGCCACTGAAGCACTGCTCGCCCCAGCAGAGTGTAAACACAGTGACAGAGGTTCAGCATCTATTTAAAGTGACAATGTTTTGATTGGAGTGAAAAGCCGTGCGGACCGAATCATGTAATCACGGCAGAGCTCAAGGGCAGCAGAGCAGAGGAGCCAAGCTGCTGTTTGGCTCTCACATGATTCCAGTCACATAAATCATGACACCGCTGCTAACGGCTGCAAACAAAGGAAGGCTTCAAGTTGAACAAGGACATGTAAGTGGTAGTAAGGTTCATTGAATTAAACTCAAGTCGGCAGAAATCTGGCTTCATTTTGTAGCTTCCGTACTTGCCCGTGGATGGTGCTGTGGATCCCGTGTAACTACATGACTTTATGGAAGTGTAATCATCCTGTTTTAAATAAATGTAATGCAGCAGTATGCAGGGCTCCTCGACTTATGTTGGCGGTCCGTTCCTACGATGCGATGCAACACGTCCTGTAGTTTGAATCCCATGGAGTTATGGAGTTTATCTTCCTGTGTGGGTTATTTTATGGATACGGATTACTTCTACAGTCCAAAAGATGCAGTAATCGGTTGACTGGACACTGAATTGAGCTTAGGTGTAAATGTCACTGTGAATAGTTGTTAAATTCCATATGTGACCCAGTGGAATTAGGTCTGGAAAACCTTCCCAGGTGTCTTTTGCCCAAT